CCAAGCGACGAAAACCCAACCCCGATGGCAAACACTGGGGGGGGGGCGGGCGGAGAAGCGAAATCTGTGTGGAGACCTTCTCCCTTGCCGTATGACCGGGGTTATAGAGTAGTGCTTCCAAACATACACGAACAGTACACAACTTGATGCCCACAAAGGTGTCCACACGGCAGCACACATACGCTGTCAAGCCGTGAGCGGGGTCGATGGAGACTGCAATCGAGCCACTCGGGCTGACTGAAACACACAGACGAGGGGCAGACAAGCACTTGCGTGTGTACATGCAGACGACGGAAGCATTGCTTTGACGCGAACTATGCCAACCAAGGAGGGCTCCAAGCACACACACACACCTCACGAAGGAGTCTTCGCCGTCGTTGACGATGGCGAGGTACCAGTTGTTCTTGAAGACGGCGTCGCCGCGGAACTTGATGGTGCCTTCGTTGTTCCGGAAGACGTTGCCGTTGTTGTTGAACAAAGAGTCGTCCTTGAACCTTGTTTCCCCCAAACCCCGCACGAGCGCAAGCAAGCAAGCAAGCAAGCAAGCAAGCAAGCAAGTGGGCAAGGCGAGGCGGACACCGCACGGAAAAAAACGGCATGCCCTCACGTTGTTGTTATCGGCTTGTGGTACGAGTACGAAGTCAAATTAGCAGCAGGAAAGGGAACGACAGCAACTGAGGCACCTGCACCTAGGAGCGACAGGGGAAACAAACACACGGCCGAAGATTCGATCACCTCTCTTGCCCGGGATCCACGTGATTTGGCCTGCTGCGGCAGCCGTGACCTTGCTGTTGCGACCCACGAACCGCACACGGCACCAACCCCCACACAATCACACACAATGGCGAAGCTACGGTAAGTAGACGACCGATGGAATAAGATGATTGGCTGGTTGCCAGAGGTAGAAGTCAAGATGAGGCAGGGTAAGCGAAAAATAACTCACTCGATCGAACCGCGGTTGTAGAACACCGATCGGACGTTGAAAACCTGGCTGGAGCGGAATTTCCCGTTGAAGGTCAAGCTTCCGCCCTCGGCCACGTCGAACACGAAGTCGCTCGCACTCTCAGGATCCTGCCAAAGCAGCAGCAGCAGCAGGAGAGGCAGCAGCAGCAGCAGCAGCAGCAGCAGCAGCAGCAGCAGGTAAAAGGGTTTAGTTCCCTGCTTACTGTTGATTGATACATTCACAATAGGTCCGGGTAGCACCGCTGTAGATGGCAATACTTCTCATTAGAAGATTTTCGTTACGAGTAACCTTCCCTGAAGTGGTGAATAACCGTTCACCAGCGGAGGTATTTCGCTCTCCGTTCAATGTCGCGAGGAATTACCAAGCGCGGCCGACGTTGGTCGACCTTGCTACTTTTAATGGAAGGTGAAAGGCGAGAGTGAGCCTCGGGGCCACCCTTTCTTTCACCCTCCGGCTGGTCACAGCAGGCGGAGGATCTTTCTTTGTAGACATCTTCAGACCCGGAGAACATGGTTCGTAGGGTCTCGGACCTCTACTGGTTGTATGTCACTATCACCAGGAAGATACCTTTACCCTATCTTTCACACTAACGCGGACAGATAGTTCGCCGTTTTCTGACTCTTGATATGTTTGTTCGGACACTTACTACGACGCTGTTGGGGCCAACCCTTGTGACGGGCATGTCGAAGATGAGGGAGGCACCCTCCTCGACGATGAAGCGAAGGTTGACAAACCTGATGCGGCGTACAAAGAGAGAAGAGGGGGGCAAAAGAGAAGAAATCATGAGAGGTGTGCGCCAAACCACGCGGATCCCGAAACACGAAACAAAGCGGCAACGTGCAGGGGAGAGGTGGTGAACGAAAAGCGAACCGGTACCATGCATCAGGTATATAGCACTGTTCGAATGACGATTGCGATTATTTCCGCGTATATTTCACCGTTTACAAAACATGCCCGTTTCACTCCGATCTTTGTTGCGTGCATGTGCGTGCGCCTTGTGGAGGAACTTGCACTTTGACAGAAAACGAGCATGTACGGCTACCAAAGAAGCCGATAAGACCCTGGTCGTTTAAAAATAACCCAGGGAGATATGAGCCTTCCGTCATTGAGAGGAGATGTCTTGTGTATAGGATGCCCTTCTAAAACCTATCTATAGCGTCCATTTGTGGCCAAACGAGGAACTACCAGGCACAAGCAGCAGTCTAGCCTATATAGATTGGAGCGAGACATAAATATTTGGCAAGGAGCTCCGACTAAGACACACACAGCTGTGGAATAGACAAGTCTAGGTGTGGGTACGTATATTACTTCTGTAGTCTACGTGGAGTGGAGTCCACAATGCTTTGACGCCAGTCTCGTATTGAACCACTCTGTAGCCGCGAAATACCAGCTCTACTGCTGCGAACATAATGGCACCTGGTTACTTTACCACCGCGGATCTTCGCAGCAGCAGACCGAAGGTGGCACCACGAAGCTAGTGTAGTGCACCGTATGTACCCGTTGCGTGTGGCTGGCAAATACCCGTCGCTTGGGGCTGCTGACAATTAGCGAACTTCAACGTTACCTCCTTCTAGGAGTTGCGTTTGACCTCTTCTTATTCCTCTCACCATTGTTGTACAGTGTTTCTCAACAACAGCAGTCTACTTACCCACATCATTTACATAAGATTGACGCTGGCTTCCGTCATGAAAACATTGTACGCAGAATTCAGCACACGCACCGAACAAAGGATTCCTCGGACTTGACGGCGAGAGTCTTGCCGCTCTCGATGGTGATGTACGGTAACTCCTCGCCGTCGTCGGTGGACGGGCAGTCCACCCTGATAATGGTTCCCAGGTCGATCTCCGTCACGGAGCTCACGTCCCCGAAGTACGCGTCGATGTCGTCGCACTCCTGAGACCTGCAGAAATTGCGTGCGGCATCGGGGTTCAGCAGTGCATGGCAGGGCAATTCCGCCGTGTTCTCTTTTGTGTGCTTGAGAGGACGAATCGATGATTTGCTGATCGCCTGAAAATTATCGGCCAGCCGCTTGCGAGCAAAAGTGTGTGTTGGGTGAAATAGGTTGGATCGCCGGGTGGTGGGACGTGTGTACCAGCACCAGCAGTGTACTTAAGACGATGGACCTTCCCCGTTGGCGCCTACTGCAAGGTCGGTGCATACACTGCAAGGTCGGCGCATACACTGCAAGAAGGTCGGCGGGCACATGACGAGGTGGCTGCTCTTTGCTCTTCACCTGACGGTTGATGCGATCAGAGCCAGCGCCAGCAAAGCGCAGCGCCCTACCACAGACTTACCCATCCTTGCTGGTGTTGCTGTAGTACGGGGTGAAGTAATAATAACGATGGGAGCTCGTGCGGGGTGCCGGAGGTAAGCGGAGTCGTTGTCCGCAGCTGCTGAAAGTGCGGGCCTGTGTTCGAGATCACAACAGTGGGCAAGAGAGCCAGCAACAGCGTGCCAGAATTATCCCGAAAGTCCAGAAATCTCACAGTCCCGCGTTTCAGTNCTGCAAGAAGGTCGGCGGGCACATGACGAGGTGGCTGCTCTTTGCTCTTCACCTGACGGTTGATGCGATCAGAGCCAGCGCCAGCAAAGCGCAGCGCCCTACCACAGACTTACCCATCCTTGCTGGTGTTGCTGTAGTACGGGGTGAAGTAATAATAACGATGGGAGCTCGTGCGGGGTGCCGGAGGTAAGCGGAGTCGTTGTCCGCAGCTGCTGAAAGTGCGGGCCTGTGTTCGAGATCACAACAGTGGGCAAGAGAGCCAGCAACAGCGTGCCAGAATTATCCCGAAAGTCCAGAAATCTCACAGTCCCGCGTTTCAGTGTATTTTTGGAATGCGGTAGCGGGCTTGCGGCGTGGCTTGTATCGGGTGGAAAAGGGATCCTCTGCGAAAAGCACATGGCCACATGGTACAGGTAGCCTTCGCTGACGCTATTGATTCATTGCTAAACTAGCTTAGACTTAGATAGAGATGGATTCGTTGGAGTATTATTTTACTTCCGATCTGCCTCTTCATCGGTCGTGAGCGGCCGATGTCCATCTTCCACCACAATATTCTTGCGAGGGTCGGCTTGCGTCGGACGTATTCGCCCACCCAAGACAGGACCCACGCTCGCAGGAATCACCCCGCTTGCACCTATCATATACACATCAAGATCTACTTCTATTTACTACTACTCTGCTGTTGAAAACAATAAAAAGTGCACACACAAGCAGCTTTTGCCTTTCCTGGTAAGCGTCTGCATGGAAAAACAACTGCTGCTGTAGTCTAGTGACTTGCCTGCGGTTTTACCGCGGTTTCGGTAACGGAGTAGGACAAACCGCATGGTGATTCTAGATAGGGCGGGGTAATGTGCCTCGGGGTGGTCGACTCAACACCTTGCAGTAGTCTATGTACCTGCGGTGCTTTTTGCTTTTTGCGGTGTTTTGCGGTGCGTAGCGGGTGCAGTCCATCATCATTTGAATTTTGAATCCGAGTTATAACAAAAAGTAAAATTAAAGTGCAACGAATGGCCGGGGCCGAAATCGACCTAGTGAGTCCCTCGCGGGCGAACCAGGCCACAACAGATAGTAGGCGGGTGGTGTCCCAAGGTGAAACTCACACGACGCGCTGGCTCAGCGTGGCGGTGAGGATGCACAGACGGTGGTAGTGGCCAGAGGTGTGTATGGACACTGTTCCCGCGGCAGTAATGTTGTTGACTTCACATTAACCCTTTCGTGACTGGGTTCTTTCTGGATCTTCCGCGGTTTTTTTTGTTCTGCCGGGATCGAATAGACCGATGAGTCATGAGACACACACGACACACACACTTGAACGTTTGCACGTTTGCGCACCAACAGGTTCCCACACAGGTCAACCGCACGCACCCCGTGGTGCCACAAAGGTTTAGTGCCCAACAGCAGCGTAACCCTCACGTGAAGACTGTGATGGGTGACCGATAACTACACTGCTGTACTGCTGTTGTAGGTGCTGTTGGAAACCGGAGGAGAGAGAGGAGAGGGCGCCGTATTTCTTTACCCCAAACACGATTATCACATGATGATGGCATACATGGATACAGCAGCAGCAGTAGACATACATCGCATGCACAGCAGTTCTACATGTCACGCTACCCCGCCGCCGATGCAGCACACTGGCGCAAGGCATGTGGCACCGCCTCCAATGCCACTTGGTTGGGTGGGAAATCCTTTGGAGACAAGAAGCACACACGCACGTACGGTTTGTTGGGATGCATGCATGCGAAACGAAATGAAAAAGCGGCAGCAGCAGCAGCAGCAGCCCGCGGCAGCAGCAGCAGCAGCAAGCACGAGCCGCGCGAGAGATAGACTATGCCTTGTGGTGGCAGTTGGTTGAAGACGGACAAGGAAAACACTCGAACGCACACTCGCGCAGGAGAACTCGGGGAGAGGCCTCGTAAGCTTGGCCTTCAGTTCTGCAACCACATTCCGAAGGCAAGGAAGAGGGCACACAACTCAACAGCGAGAGCATGATTTTTCGTACCAGATAAAGACAGGTTTTATCATGCATGCTATCGTCCCTGAAGTCACGAAAACCC